GGGGCACATACAATATTGGGAAGTATGTGCAGAAGAGGAGTGCAGAGTATATAACTGAGGATAATATGTGTAGGAGAGAGTGCAGAGTGTATGACTCTAATATGTGCAGGGCCGGATTTCCCACAAGGCAGGGGTATGGAATTCCTATCGCCTGACGCCCAGCTGATGCAGTTCCGGGTGCCGGGCAGGTAGTTGTTGTCTACATGTAGCCCTGCTTTGGGCAAGCAGGGCTAAATGTACAGCAGGGAAGCCGCTTGTCCGTTTACAAGTGATCCGTTCTCTGCTCTGCTCCGTGTAAACGTTGAGAGGGAAGAGCTGCACTCGCAGCCTTCCCCTCTCAGCTGTCACAGGAGTTCCAGCACAGTACTGTGCTGGAACTCCAGTTTTGGAGGTTACTGGTTCAATACAGTGATAGAAACAAAGTTAAGTGAAAAAAAACATTGAATTATGTTTTGCCCATAAATGTAAGGTTTTCTTTTGAAACTTACAATAAACAAGTTTAAAAAAAGCACTTTTTAGCACCACACGAGTCATAGACTTACTGGTATTTAATAAATAAGAAAAGTTGCTGCAGCTTTTCTCACTGATGCCACAGAGTACAATGAGTCGGATAAGCAACTGGGGATTTTGCATTGTAACCTGTGATGAGCCATTTACTTAAAATGGTATTCATATCTCCCAGCAGTTTAGGCTATAATTACAACATTGCTGTCCAGAGATTTTCACTGTGCATCCTTCCTGACCCTGCACAAATGTATTTATGCACTGTGCTCACATACTGTAGCCTTGTGCATTCACTGATGTGAAACAGAAAACTGCCATACCAGACCATAGCACTCCACATGGGCACTTCAGTACATGCACTGTTGAACTGCTATTATTTCCTATGATAGTAGACCACCTTCTTCTTGGTACATTAAAATGGTTGTATAAGTAACACAACAGTGGCTCTGGACAGGCCAAACAGCGTAAATAATTAGGCACTAAGACATAAGGGTCATACGGAACTATAGTTGCAAAGGCTGTGGGGTTGCCTTAAAGTGAACCTATACTTTGTCCATAAAGTCAATGCAACAGGTTCATTTTAAATGCCCCACTTCCAAGACAATCATACTTACCTTTCCTTCTCTCCCCCTCTGCTCTGTTGAGCTGTTAAGAGAAGGAGAAGCCACCATGCATAAGCTTCAGATCGCTGTAGCTTACATAGGGCTTGGACTATCCCCATGTGATGGTGGTGGTCTTGATCTTGAATAAAAAATAGAATATGCATATGAGATAGGGACCTTAAATTGTAAGCTCCTTGAGGGCAGGGACTGATGTGAATGTGCTCTATGTAAAGCGCTGCGTAAATACCGGGAATAAATAATAATAAATACATTGCATGGCATTCTAAGACAAGATGATTCAAAGGTGGCACCTGAGGAGGATCTGTTACACATTTAGTCTCTGTTTTTTTTTTACTACCTGCTGCGCTGTGTTTGATGTTTTACCTAATGATCTCGGTATTGACAAACATTCTAGATTGGATGATCATGAA